CGTACGTCCTGACGTCACAGGGACAGGACACAGAAGCCGGATGCCGGCATCGGCCGGAGGAGATGGCCGGGGACGCTGCAGGGGACACATCGTGGGAGCGCAGGGTAAGGTAAGTGAAGAACACATGCCGGAGCAGTGCCACATGGTATTCCCGAGTGTAGCTCGGGGTTACCGCTTTTGGTACTGAAATGTTACCCCGAGCTACACTCGGGAATACCGCCAGGGAGGTTAAAGGATAGGTTCACCTTTTAGACAAAAATAATAAATGCACATTTTTTGCAGGTAAAAAAATGTGCATTTATTATTTTTGTCCAAAGGAGCCTGGAAAGCATTGCACCACTGATCAGTAGATCACTGATACCATGCAGGTCTCCTGTCAGAATATTTGCTTGCCCGTATGGGATGTACGAGCAAGCAATATTCCGACAGGAAGCTTCAATGAACTACCATGGCGCTCCACAGCCACTAAGGCTGTTGGGACTTGCAATTCATTCATTCACGGAAGTCAATGAATGAATGACACGGCCGTATGGGCGGAGCCCCACACGGCCACACTATTTTCAAATTTGACAGATAGTACGGAGAGACTTCTCCCCATAATATCTGTCAGAGGAAAGGGGCGGGTGTGGCTGCAGCTATGGGACCATGTTACATGTTCCACCTTAAAAATGGGTAACCAGGCCATTTTTTGTGATACAGCACTGCGTTATTTTAACTGACAATTGCACGGTCATGCAGCATGAATGACAATGAAATGTATGTAATTTTTTCCCACAAATAGAGCTTTCTTTCGGTGATATTTGAACATCTCTGCGTAAAATAAAAAAAGACTGACAATTTTGAAAAAAAAGAAAACAAAATTTTTGACTTATTTGCTATAAAACATATTCAATAAAAAAAATAAAAAAAATATTTTCTTCATAAATTTTAGGCCAAAATATATTCTGTCACATATCTTTGCTAAAGGAAATCCCAATAAGTGTATATTAATTGGTTTATGTGAAAGTTATAGCGTCTACAAATGGCATTGTATATACTGGAAATTTGTATTTATTTCTTTTTTCATACTAGTAATGGTGGCGGCCAGGACCCAATGATTGACATCCTTACCAGCCAATAGCAGCACAGGTAGGGCAGAGCGTACACACGCCACCCCCCACCCGGAAATGCTGTTTGGATGTTTTATTTATGATGTGGAATGCCAAAGCAGCAAGAAGAAATAAATGTACAAAGAAGTCCAGATTTTACATTTACAGATCATGGCAATCACATAAATCATGCTGTTTTGGTCAGATGGAAATGCACACACTTTAGACATCTACCAGGAGAACAAAACAGGTATTAAGTAAGAGCTTGCTATCTGAGGTGTTGAACACTTCCAACCAATTATTATTTTTGTCAATATGAAAATCAGAGTTACAGTTTGCCTAGCCTAAATGTTTGGGAAGATGACTTAATAAAATAACTGAGACAAACCAACCAAAATGAGGAGATTCGTACCTCTAGTCTGTGCCTAGAAAATTTAGCACTTAAAAAACTTAGGGATGCAGAATCGTCATAAACCTCCTGCAAGGTAAAGGCAAAACACCTCCTGCAAGGTAAAGGCATAATGTGCTAGTATGTATTTCACGAGCTCTGGCTGGCTGACTGGCTGAGAGCAATGATGTCACTTTCACACATGCTCTGAAGGAATGGCATACCCGTGCATGCACACCAACAACACATTCCCCAAACCTTTTGAATATTAATATTATTATAATACAGGAGTTATATAGCGCCGACAGTTTGCGCAGCGCTTTACAATATAAAGGGAGACAGTGCAGAGGGTTAAGAAGGCCCTGCTCATAAGAGCTTACAATCTAATAGGGTGGGGCAAGTAGTACAAAATATAAATATAAAATGTGGTAGTTCAAAACACCCCAATCAACTACACAATTCTGAATAGAGATAACTTTCCACCCTAGAAAGTTGCAAACATCAAAAAAAAATTTTTTTTTTTTTGCTCCAAAAGAATCACCCAACCCACCACTAGTGAAAACTCCCCTATTTAAAACATCAAAACGTGCCTTTCAAATACTAAATATCCAAACACATATAATCATGCACAATATGTCAATAAGTGTCCAGTGTCATATAGTCCAAAAAATAAATCAAAATGAAAAAGTGTTTAAATAAGTCCCACTTGAAATCACTTCTTTCTAATGTTGAGATCCTCAAAGGACAGCTTCCGCAGAGACCCTCAAAGAAATCAAAAACTCAACATAGTGCATTAACTTAGTAACTTGATAAATAACACTCCATGCGTGCATTTATAAACATTAGTGAAAAAACGTGGGAAAAATGAAAACCACAGCAACACTTGTGCCAGTGTAAACCACTTCAATAGTGTTTCACTTCTAGTACATATAGCCTATATACCCTTACCAAAAACAAATAACAAGAACGCTGTGAGATATCTTATAGAGAAAGCTTGCAAGAGCCCCTCAGCCTCCTTGTCTCCACTCCTGATGTTCTGATTACAGTCTCATCCCCTCACGGTACCGCAAGCCAGTTAAATAGGGGAGTTTTCACTAGTGGTGGGCTGGGTGATTCTTTTGGAGCAAAAAAAAAATGTTTTTGAAGTAGTACAAAAGGTTATAACTGTGGGGAATGAGCTGATGGAAATGGTAAACTTTTGGCTGGAGGTGTGATACACTTCCCTGAAGAGATGTGTTTTCAGGGATCGCCTAAAGGCAGCCAGAGTAGGGGATAGCCAGACAGATTGAGATAGAGAGTTCTAGAGGGTGGGAGAGGCCCTGGCAAAGTCCTGGAAGCAAGCATGGGAGGAGGAGATATGGGAGCTTGAGAGCAGGAGGTCATGGGAGGAGCAGAGAGGACGGTTTGGGTGATATTTGGAGACAAGATTGGTGATGTAGTTGGGGCAGAGTTGTGAATGGCTTTGCATGTTGTTGTTAGTATTTTTAATTGAATTAGCTGGTGTCACGTACCTGGTTGGGGAGCCTGACGTGGAGAGAGGGCATCCTCTTACAACTCCCTCGGAGCCCCTGATAGTGGGAACAGAGGTCACAGAGCCAGGAGTGGCAGTAGTGCCGTGTGGATCTGAAGCTTACGGCAGGTAGCTGGGGGACCCAGGAGATCAAGGCACAGGCCAGGTGCGGGTGCAGGAACGTAGGTGCAGCAGCAAGCAGGTATGGTGGCAGTCAGGATGCAGATTGGGACCGGACACCGGTGCGTGGATGCAGTAGCAGGCAGGTATGGCGGTGACTCGGATGCAGGCCAGATGCGGAACCGTGGGTACAGCGGCAGGTAAGTATGATAGCCGACAGGATGCAGGCCAGGTGCAGGCAGATTAATGTAGCAGAGTCAGACAAGCCGGGTCAGTATCAAGCGGGCAAATAAAGTACAAAAGGAGCAGGGAAGCGAATGGTCAGGGATAGCTGGGGGCGGAGCAGACGGAGTTCTTTCTTAGTCAGGTAAATCAGAATACATGTATCAGGATCAAGAATATGTGCAGGAACGTTGTAGACCAGAAGGCATTGATTTTACTATGAAGCAGGTTTAAATAGCCCGCCTGACATGACATGTGCGCTTACTGCGCATGCGCTACTGCGTGGTGCACTCGCACCGCACGGCTGCACGGCGACAGGATCCCTGACAGCTGGGCAATCGGAAGCCAGTGGAGAGATTGGCAGAGAGGGGTGGCAGACATGGAGCAGTTGGTAAGGTAGCAGCATTCATGACAGACTAAAAAGGGGATAGCCTATGGAGAGGTAAGCCTATGAGAAGGGAGTTGCAGTAGTCAAGGCGAGAGTGAATGTGTAGCTTGGAGGTTAAAAAGGGATTTTAGAGATGTCACTGAAATGAAGTCTACAAGCTTTTGACAGTGATTGGATTTGAGGCCGAAAGGGTAGGTCAAAGTCTAGGAACCAACTACCCTGGCTTGATGAGAAGGACTGATAGTTGCATTATGGATCATAGTCATAGAGGGGTGCATCTCAAGCCTTTGGGCGCAGAGATTGAGTGGAGAAGCTATGTACCTCCCTGTCCTGAGGACAAAAAATGTAATTGCATGGGCAACTGTAAATACAGTAAATCTTGTGAGCTGCTATGGGCATACAACAATAAATAAATAGATATAGTGTGTGTGTCGACCACACTAATCACACTTCCATACAAAATGTGTTATAATTTAAATCTCATTAAATGTGCCACTCTTCACCAACCAACATAAAAATAATATACACCCTATTTCCAGTGTTTTTCAACACAAATTACCAAAATTATATACATAAAAAACAAAAGTAGATAGATATATCAAATAAGAATAGATGTGTGTGCATCAATTAAGTAACATAAGTTTCATCAACAGTCCAACATCCACTTAACCACTAGCCTACAGGGCACTTATACCCCCTTCCTGCCCAGGCCAATTTCCAGCTTTCAGCGCTGTCACACTTTGAATGACAATTGCGCGGTCATGCAACACTGTACCCTTATGAAATTTTTAGCGTTTTTTTGAGACAGATAGAGCTTTCTTTTGGTGGTATTTAATCACCTCTGGGGATTTTTATTTTTTCTTAAACAAACCAAAAACTACTGAAAATTTTGAAAAAAAAAAGTTTTTTCTTAGTTTTTGTTATACAATTTCGTAAATAAGTGATTTTTCTCCTTCACTGATGTGCGCTAATGAGGCTGCAATGATGGGCACTGATAGGCTGCACTGATGGACACTGATAGGTGGCACTGATGGGCACTGATGAGGAAGCACTGGTAGGTTGCACTGATGGGCATTGACAGGCATCACTGATGGGCACTGAAAGGCAGCACTGATATATGGCACTGATAGGTGGCACTGATAGGCAGTGCTGACTGGCACTGATAGGCATCACTGACTGGCACTGATAGGCGGCACTGACTGGCACTGATAGGTGGCACTGACTGGCACTGATAGGCAGCACTGACTGGCACTGATAGGCGACACTGACTGGCACTGATTGGCAGCACTGATAGGTGGCACTGATTGACATTGATAGGTGGCACTGACTGGCACTGATGGGTGACATTGAAAGGCAGCTCAGATGGGCACTGATATGTGGCATTGATGTGCACTGGTATGCACTGATATGTGGCATTGATGTTGCACTGATGGGCACTGGCACGTGGCACTGATGGGCACTGGCATGTGGCACTGATGAGCACTGACAAGTGGCACTTCTGGGGCCACACTGATCATCAGGGCACACTGATCATCAGTGCCCTGATGATCAGTGTACATGTCCCCTCCTCGGAAAGCCAATTACCGGCTCTCCTCTCCTCTTGAGCTGTCAGCGTGACAGCTCGAGAGGAGAGAAATGCCGATAACCAGCATTTCCGTGTGTACATGTGATCAGCTGTGATTGGACACAGCTGATCACATGACTGAGCCGACATCTTCGATCGCCGCGCTGCACGCTCCCTGAGCCGCGCATGTGCAGTGAGAATGGTAGGACGTCATATGATGTCATTTCAGATTGAGATAACCACCTTGCGCCCGTCATTGTACTATAGGGCGGGCAGAAGGTGGTTAAAGACTTCTTCGCATACAAAGTATACTTCAATTTTGTTATCAATTCTTCCAACACCACTTGTGCCCAAAAGATGATATCCAAAATGGTGACAGACCCACTCCACCCGATGTGCTCTCACGTGGTTTAACGCTGGTAAATTCGGCTGCACTGAGGTCACTGCTGAATCAAGGGACAGGTGAGTGTCTGTTTTTTAAAAGTGAGAAGCTACAATTTTTGTAGCTGCTGGCTTTTATTTTTTTACATTTTGACTGGAGCTCTGCTTTAAGGCTGCTTTTAACTTTAACTGTTCAGTGCGGTATCCCCCCACCCTTCCCTGCATGAGTAAATGCTCATTTAGCTAGGAGGAAAAGTACTAGGTTCAAATTCTAACCCTAGTCCTTGCTCTCTGATATCATCAAGCACAAAGCAGATCCTTCAGTCCTCCATTGTATGGGAGGAGTGCAAGGGCCAAACAACATTCCAAAATATCTAACAGTCTAGGACAGGGGTCTCCAAACTTTTCAAACAAAGGGCCAGTCTACTGACCTTCAGACTTTAGGAGGGCTGGGTTGTGGCCAGTGGGGGTAAAAATTCCCTGGGCCCAGCATCAGTAAAAATAAACATGGCTTCAGGGATGGTGGTCAATAGGTGGAAGAGTAGTGCCCCATTGTTGGTATCAGTGGGAGGAATAGTGCCCCCTCGTTGGTATCAGTTGGAGGAATAGTGCCACATCATTGGTATCAGTGGGAGGAATAGTGCCCCATTGTTGGTGTCAGAGGGAGGAATAGTGCCCCATCATTGGTATCAGTGGGAGGAATAGTGTCCCATCGTTGGTATCAGTGGGAGGAATAGTGCCCCATCATTGGTATCAGTGGGAGGAATAGTGTCCCATCGTTGGTATCAGTAGGAGGAATAGTGCCCCATCATTGGTATCAGTAGGAGGAATAGTGCCCCAACATTGGTATCAGTGGGAGCAATAGTGCCCCATCATTGATATCAGTGGGAGGAATAGTGCCCCATCGTTGGTATCAGTAGGAAGAATAGTGCCCCATCATTGGTATCAGTGGGAGGAATAGTGTCCCATCATTGGTATCAGTGGGAGGAATAGTGCCCCATTGTTGGTGTAAGTGGGAGGAATAGTGCCCCATCATTGGTATCAGTGGGAGGAATAGTGCCCCATTGTTGGTGTCAGTGGGAGGAATAGTGCCCCAAGGGATAAAGGCTAGCAAAGGGCCACAGTTTGGAGACCTCTGGTCTAGGAGAATGCTGTCAAGGCAGCAGGAATAAGATAAATATTTGTATTTATTCTTTTTCCCCTAGGCAAATAAACATTTACAAATTGCAGTGCAGGGTGTGGGGCGCATTTTAAGCAGCCTGGAGCTGGGGTATAAACATTTTATTTAAACTGCTGGGGATAACAGTAAAAACTGCCAGCAACTAAATCCACAAAGCAGATAACAGCTCTGCATTCTGCCAAAAAGCAACATTGATCTCTCTGGATGCTAAAAAGCCTACTGAAATTATTTATATGATGTCCTTACCAGATTTCACTTTACAGGAAGCATAATGCAAGCCACTAAATCAATGTCTTCCAACTTCCATACTAAAATATTGACAGTTAACATTTTTACAGAACCCCTTGAAGCAGGTAATGAGGATGTCCCCAAAAATATCCCTGTTTCTGACATCTAAGGTCATGTAAACTAAAGTAACATACCATTAAAGCCCAAACTTTTTTTATACTTGAAAAAAAGTAAATGCTTCTGTCAAATTTGAATTTCTGCCCGTGACCAGAGTGGAGAGATGTCACCTATTTATTGTAGCTTTTACAGACTGTGGTAGCAGTACATATAATAAGGAAAGCAGTTCACATTGGGGCAGGGAGACACAAATAGCAATAATAATTTGCTGAATTTTCCAACTCTTCCCCATTTTAAAGAAAAATATGTTTTGTTTTAATCTGTGTCCCCACTGAAGAGGGATGTCATTATTTCATGTCCGGAGAAATCTCCATAATGCAAACACAGACCACAAAAGAAATATTAATGCTTCTATGCCTGCTGGAGTTAGACTTTAAGCCTTGAAATGCATATAGGGATCACAGCCTACCTACACAGGGTAGAGTTCTTTGAAGTCTCTCACATTCAGAAAGAATTCTGTATCAAAGTACCAAGTAATAAAACTTTTCTGCCACCAATCAGATTCATGTACATCTTCACATTTTGTTGCTGCAAGTGCAGAAAAACCTGTCAGAAATCCAGTGTGCTTCCAATCTCCTGTTTGAGCTGACAACCCACTGCCATTGCTGTTCTGAAACATTAAAGTGGAGCTCCAGTGCCCTTAACAATGTTTTTTAAAATGCTCACCCATGATTATTTCATCTTTCCCATTAATAATTGAATAAAAATATATGTGATATCCAGCTCGTTAGTTGATATGAGTAATATCTTACCTTGATCCAGGAAGCAGGCAGGTGCCATGAAGAATGTAGGCATTTGAAGCCCGCAGGTCTATATTTCTGGGATTAGGTGCTGCTGGCTATCCCAGCATGCACCTCCCAATCTTGTGCCTGCGCAGTAATGACACTTCATTCCTAACTTGGATTCACAAGGACTCCTGGGATAGAATATCAGATATCCCAGAATACCTGGGATATCACATCATACATACTGGGGGGGGTACAACTGGGGGAATCAATGGTGGAGAAGGATCTATGAGTTCTGGTAGATCACAAGCTTAATAATGGCATGCAATACCAAGCTGCAGTTTCTAAAGCAAGCAAAATCGTCTCTTGTATTTAAAAGAGGTATAGACTCCAGAGAGAGAGATATCATATTACCCCTGTACAAATCATTAGTAATACCTCATCTGGAATATGCAGTTCAGTTTTGGGCACCAATTCACAAAAAGAACATTGGGGAACTTGAGAACGTGCAGAGAAGGGCAACCAGACTGATAAGAGGCATGGAGGAGATCAGCTATGAGGAAAGATTAGAGGAACTGAATGTATTATCTCTTGAGAAGAGGAGATTAAGGGGGGATATGATCACCATGTGTATGTATACATCAGTGGTTCATATAGGGAACTCGGTGTAGAGCTATTCACCCTGAGGTCATCACAGAGGACAAGGGGGCACTCTTTACGTCTGGAGGAAAAGAAATTTAATCTCTAAACACAGAAAGGTTTCTTCACAGTGAGAGCTGTGAAAATGTGGAATAGACTCCCTCAAGAGTTGGCTGGCCAGCTCAGTGGATTGCTTTAAAAAAGGCCTGGATTCTTTCTTGGATACACAAAATATAACTGGATACTAACATTTATAGGTAAAGGTGATCCAAGGAATATCCGATCGCCTCTCAAGGGATCAGGAAGGAATTTTAAATTGGATCATGCTTTGCTGGGGTTTTTTTGCTTTCCTCTGGATCAACTGTGGGTGTTGGATTATAACTTTTTTTTTTTTTTAATGGTTGAATTGGATGGACTTTTGTCTTTTTTTCTGCCAGACTAACTATGTAACTATGTAACCTTGCGAATTAGCTGTCATCGCCTAGGCAGCAGGGACCGGAAGCGCCACCTTTACCAACTTATTAAAGGTATTTACAAACTTAAATAAAAAAAAAAATATATATATATAGATATATATATATATCTATATATATATATATAATTCCAACAGTACAACAAAGGGGCATTGCTAATAGAGGGTAAAAAAATGGGTGAAATTCCGCCATAAGCAGTGTTGTTAGCCTTGCGTATTTGTCTTCTTGTCTACTATAGAACACTCCCCCCCTCATTTCATCTTTATAACTTATGGGAGTGTTCTGTAGTGCACAGGATAGAACTGAGCAGAGCTATTAACAGCACTTTCGAATTTGGTGATCTCTGGAGTTCTGGCAGGATTAGCAGGTGTTTTTCTGTACTTGCATTTTAAAGAAATAAAACATGGTGAAATATGCATCTATTGCAAAAATATCAACTTAAAATTACCCCATGCTTTTGTAGAATGTATAAACCAATGTGTTAACAATACATTTGCTGCCACCTTAAATTGCTAAAATTATCCAATTTACCCCCATTCTTGACCAGGCCATTGTTTGCGATACGGCGCTGCGTTACTTTAACTGACAATTGTGCGGTCATGCAATGCTGTACATAAATGATACTTAGGTCACTTTTTCCCACAAACAGAGCTATCTTTTGGTGGTATTTGATCACCTCTGTGTTTTTTATTTTTTGCACTATAAACAATAAAATACTGACAATTTTTTGAAAAAAAAAATAAATATATATATATATATATATATATATATATATATATATACACACACACATTTGGCTATTTGCTATAAAACTTATCCAATAATAATGTAAAAAAAAATTAAAATTTCTTCATAAACTTAGGCCAAAATGTATTCTGCTACATTTCTTTGCTAAAGTGTACATGAATTGGTTTACATGAAAGTTATTTTATACTAGTAATGGCAATAATCAGTGACTATAGTGGGACTGCGGCGGGCATTCTGACACTGGGTGGGAACTGACTAACTGTCACGGACATCCCCAGTGACACTAATACAGTGATCAGTGCTAATAAAAACACTGACACTGTACTAATGACACTGGGCAGGAAGGGGTTAACATCTGGGGCGGACAAAAGGTTAACAGTGCGCTGTTTGTGTTTTACTGTGAAAAGTGTGTGCTGTTTTACTAGGGAGACCTGCTGCTTTCTATCTATCTAGTAATCTATGTATTCTCTCTTTCTATCTATCTAGAAAGCAGCACATTCATGCTGACAGGGGAGAGATCTGTGTTGTTTACAGTCAGATCTCTCCCCTCTCAGCTTCGCCAATGATCACCAGGAATCGCCATCCGGGATCCAGTATTGGCATCCTCAGGAACTAATTGTAGCATGGGTAGGGCAGTGCGCACGCT